TCCGAGAAGCCATCGAGCCCGAGGTTTAACTGAATAAACGAAAGACGCAGGACGTCGCAGTCTGTCCGTTCACACTTGTGAACGCGAAGGTACCTGGCCTGCTTTCAATTTGTCCATTCAATTCGCCGCTGGATGCATGCCCCACGCTTATTAGATTGCGCAGTGGCAACCTTCTCGAGCCTTTTGCAAACGTACAACTTAACCGACGGAGGCCGAAATACTATGCGCGTGCACTTGAATATCGCAGGGATCGCACTCGAGGGAAATACTTGCTTTTCCAGGTATGCATTCCGCTGTCTCCGCATTCGGAAGGTTTGAAGCAGTTTTCTGGCCCGTGCGGAGCAAATTGATGTCGTAATTGCAACGCTTCATCACTTTTTCACGCGCTTCCAGTCGGTTGAATGGGATTGGGACGAGATTACCGAAAGGGAGCCGAGGTACCTTGCCCCTAATAATAGAAAAGGCTTGCCAGAGGGCATCAATCGGCGGGGATTCGCCACGAAAACCCCAGCATCTTATTTAATTCATCACCCAGCGCCGGGCGACTCGAGGAACCACGGTTAATCTCGTGCCATTTATAAAACTCGATCAATATCGTGCATAACTATGATTTATAAACACCCAACGTACTCGAGTTTACGGGAGGGGGCAAGGTTGGAAAAAGGAGAAATACAGTCAGTCCTATAAGTATTCGTAGCCTCTATGTTTATCGAAGGAATTTGTCAAAATTAAATAATAGGCTCGTCGATTCCGAATAAATTTTTCATTATAAATATACACAAAATAAACTTTGTCATTAATCATCAAACCTGTCATTTAATTTAGACAATTGCCTCCAATCGACATAGAGGCCACGAATATTTACGGGACTGACTGTATGTTAGCTGGTATCTCTGTTCGTGAATCTTTCATTCGTACATCGCAAGAGCAGATTCTGGATCGTGACTTGGAGTGCATTATGTTTCATATTAGGGAGGAGCTGTAAGTTAGGTCTGTGTTATTTTGTGCTCCAGTAGTTGCGTCGCTTTGTGGGTTAGTTTGCCTAGGGGGCGAAATAATGTTTGGTATCTTAGTAGATGTGCTGTTGTTGGGATTTCGATGCAAATTGAGTACAAGTTTGAGTAAGGATGACTTGGAGCGGAGGCGTGGTTTAGTGGTGGGCAGAGTTGTAGTATCTAATTATAAATTAAGGAACGATCGAGGCGGGGGATTAGTGTTGTAGGATTTGGGCACTGTTGGATACTGAGCCGGATGAGTTTAAATCGGGGAATGTGGAGATGTTGAGGGGAATAGATCTGACAGCGATACTGTTGATACCTGTGAGGTCAGAGGGCATGATATCCGTGAGGCCCATGTCGAAAGTCTTGACACTCACGACTCGAACCAGGTTAGGGGACACTACACTCGTGAGGTCTGAGTACGAAACCTAACTTTGGTGGAACCTGTGTTGGGACACCAGTGATACTCGAGGTGTTACTATTAACATCTACCCAAGTCAAGAGACACCACGTTGACAACTCCAAAGTATCAGTGTCTAAATCAGAGACTCAGAATCAGAGACAAAGTTTTGCAGACAAAGTCTTAGGGTTAGTCTACTTTCAACTCCGGTCACATTGAGAGTTAAGTACAAATACAGTACAGTTCTCCCGCATCGATTGATCCAACACCTCTCTACTTTTCTTTCCCACGTAATTTTCAAGATTACCATCGAGAATCCACGGTATCTCCACCCTCACAGGGTAATTTTACACCAGCCCGCCAGCCCCCCCCCCCCCCCCCCAGTAATAACAGAAAGTACGTATTTCTTAAATTTGCTTTTCATTCAAACGAGGCTTCATTAAAGCCGCCGGGCGTTCTTTTGATGTTAGCTCCTCGTCAACGTCTTTGATTTCGCTCAGCCATCTTTTTGATTAGAACGCTTCGAGCGTCTCTCTCCCGTCTCTTATCGAGCAACTTTTCCACGTCCGTTTCTCTTCCCCCCGTCTCTGTCTCTCGGTCGGAAAATTTTATTAAGCAGTTCCGCGACGCAGTTTCCATTATCGTATCCGTCCGTCAGATACCGTCGTTCACCGACGGCGAATACGTTTCCGACGAACAAAAGAGACGTCGGGAGGATCACCTATATTCTTATCGCGATTCCTGGCTGGTTCTTCGTCGTATCGTTTAAACGATAGGGATGCCTTTGTCGAGATCGACGAGAAACGGGGGCGAGAAAAAGGGAAGGGAAGACGCCGACGGTATTGAATTTACACCGCACTATACAGAGATGTAACAAAAGATCTTCTATTCAAGTTTCGGACTGCACAAAGAAGCTTTGCTTTCTTCGACCCGGATGGAAACGCCGGATAATTAAGTCCCGGTCCGTGGATGCGTTCTCTCTGGTTGCGAACATTGCGTTCCTCGGGTTCGTTGGGTAGTCGAGGGAAAATTTTGTTGGGGAAATTCGATATTGCGTTTCGTTTAGGAAAGAATACCTTTGCAAATGCAGGATGACGTTTAGAAGATTGGAGCTTGTGATCGGTGGCCACTGATAGGAGTAACAAGGCTTGACTAACAGAGGAGTCTGGTTATAAGGGATTTTGATGAAACTTTGCACTTGTCGATGCCACTTATCGACTTTGAGGCTTTCGAGGATGATCCTAACATAGAAAATTGAAACGTTGATGTCCTGTTAACAGAACACCTGTCTTCCAGCTCAAACTATTTAAGGGTGTATTCTAGTCTAGAATGTCAATTTCTAGATGTTCTTTTGGACTTGTTTTCTTCAAATTCGTAAGAATTTTTTGATCTACTAATGCATACATATTTATTCACATCTCAAGAATATACTTTATTTTTAACGAAATAGTCAAAATCGAACGTAATACAGGTGATTTTGTGTAAGTCATTTAAAAAAAAGGAAGTTCGTGGTTGCATATGAATTATATAAGTGACTGTATAAATCTTTTGGAAGATATATTTTCGAATGTTCACTCTCTTAGAAAATGCACCCAAAACATGTATATTTTTAAGGGTTTTAGTCTAAAACAATTCCTTACCAGAGTATCTTAAGACTAAGAAATCTATTTTTTTTATTCTATATTCCCCCAGTGATCGCAAAATGATCATACCTATATATATATAAATCGGATATATATATATATCCGATTTCACGGGTAACGTTGAAGAGGACGGTTTTCTGCAAATCCCGCTGTATGCAATTCTATTTATCTTCCGGCTGATGATGATCATAAGCACGAATGGATAGTGCGTACGACTCAGCGACAGAGCGGGTAACAAATGCGCGCTATATTTCCTCCAGCGTGGGACTATTCGCGAAACAGAGGGGAAATGTATTACGATAGAGATACCGTTCCTCTTTGAAATTGATGACGACGCGAGCTCCAAGTTTGTCGGGTTGTATCGCGACCAGAGCCGAGCGCGGAGTTCGTTTTTCCGTTTAAAGGGATTCACGGGACAGGCTCGTATTTTCGCCGAGCAAACATTAGGATTCGTAAGCCGACTGTGCTCCCTATCGTTTGGACGCCAAGCATCGCGGCGGAAGAAGTTGCAGCTTAAAAGTGGGTTTGGCAAGTCGCCATGCTGCGTCATCACTCGTACCGCGGAGACCCAAGCATGCCGCGTGCGGCTACAGGTAAACGTACACCTGGCCCTCGATTTCAATTGGAGGTTCACTGTTCGATCCTACCCTACTCTTTACAGGGATTTTTATGTATTTTCATGAGGCGTTGCGTCTCCGGAACGTTGTAGAAATGTAAAGGTAGTTTGGGAGCTTTGTCGTGGGGGAAATTTAGAGCATGTTGACACGTTCTTTCGGTTTCAATTTCCGTAGTTTTTGTGGAGTGAGGTAATTATAATGATATGCTTTGTTTCCTCTTCTTTGCGATGATACCTCATTCGGAGATTTGAAGCAAGTTGACACGTTCTTTAGTTTCCAATTTCTATAATTTTCGTAGAGTGAGTCAATCATAATAGCATACTTTCTTTCCACTTTTTTGCAATAACATCTCATTTTCTCCAATATTAATTGTAAAATTTAAACAAACATAAAATAAATTCTTTCAACACCATCAAATCCCAACTTAATATTAATTAAATCAATATCGAAGTTTCATCACGCCCCTTGCCTTACGAAGTAAACCTTTAAAATTCCTCCCGTTTTTAACGGGTTTTCGGTAGTCAAGTTTCGCGAATCTAGAAACGGGACTATAAATTTACTGACCGTTTCGTCGAGATATATGGCTCGTTGGGAAACACGCTCGCGGGATTCTAGACGCGGAACTTTTTAGAGCCTTATTCTGCATGCGCGCGGAATAAGATGTGTACGAAAACGTCGGATTTGAATTCGAGATAGGACGCGAGAAATATTTCACGCGCGGCACCGCTTTTACGTGCCCAAGCGGAGATTCGAGGAACGGCCATGATTTTGTTATACTGCCCGAACTTATTCCGGTTCGAAAACGATTCGCCGTGGACGAATTATGAAAGATGGATGCTGGAGATTCATGAAACGTTCAAGACGATTCATCTTCGGTTGAAGGAGTGTACTACAGACAACTAGGGTATATTGTAGGAGTACATTCTTTAAAATGTGAGAAATACGTGTGGATAATCTTAAGGAGCCTGTTAATGTTACCAGTAATTTTATTTAATTGACAGGTAAAGGAATTTACCAATCACTGTCTGAAAGATTAACATTTCTGACTAATCATGGATGTTGCTAATATTTGTGTAAGTTGTACATAACAGGGTGAAAAAGATCTCGGTATTATTTTTCAAATATTGTCTATAATCTTAACATTTTAAAATTATACATTATACAATTTTAATGTTTGTATAATTTACAAATTATACAAGAAAAAGAATATTCTTATCTCATAATATCATTCTTCAAATAATTCAATAAACATTACGCAATCAATCACCTGTATATCACATCACAATGTCCCAGTTCCCCCTCCACGATATTTCTGACACACGATTCGTGTTTTCTGTTGCAGGAAGTATTGCACACGATCAGCGCGCCCAGCGGGCAGGTTCGGCGTATCGTTATCTTCAAGAAAAACGGCGTTCAAGCCATGGTGGAATATCCTTTGCAATACAAATCCCCCGTCCATTCGGTGGGCTCGCGTTTTACGTATGAGTTGCGAGTACCTAGGTTTTCGAAACTCGATAGATGGGCTTAAAGCCCAAAGGGGATCTCCATCATGACACACTTCTACGAAACGACTCGGCGCAAAAGTTTGTCGGTCACGCGCCACCGTTTCGATGCAATGAAGATTTATAACTGAAACTGAGAACCGACGCAAGTTTTGGTTTCTCGATCCTTAGGTTTCGGTTAGTTTAACTATCCCGCACTCTATGTCGAGTGGAAGTTCGTATTAATCGACTGTTCTCCTGTCTTGACGAGGCAATTGTTGAAAGTTTGTTAGATATCGTTCCTTAGATTCACTGAGATTCGCGTTGAATTACCAAAGTCATTCGTAATTCGTTGATTCTATAAAGTCTATAAATTTCTTGATTTTAGTTGTTCCTTTTTTTATGACAAGTCCAAATTCAATGCAATTTTTCTATCCTAAATGTAATATGAATTCATTCAACGATTTGATCTTCATCAGGTCTTATTTTCAAGAGTAAATAGGTACATCATATACAGATCGTATTTATTGTAGGAGTATTAAAGAAGAAACGACCTAAATAGAGAACAAAAATTGAATTTGCACCGAATACCAAAAATAGGAAAACAAACTCAAAAATCTAACTCGATATCAAAAGATACTTAAAAGAGTCTTCACGTCTTGGTATTCAGATTTATTTATTTTTATCTAGTTCACATTCTGCATACTACATTTAAAATGCGTAGAATTGTACCAATTTCAGTATCACAATTTCACCCAAGAACAATTTTCAACTACCCCATTCTGTTTTCGTTAAATTCAAACCTGTAGTATTGCTACCCACGAATTCCAGTTAATGGTCTCGCGAACCCAAGAGCAGAGTTTAGTTGAATGGGTTGTCTTAGTTGTTCGTCTACTTTGCGTTGCAACGACCGTAGAAACCGCTAAAATGTGCAGAATCTAGAGCGACTTCGTGAAACGTGTTTCAACCTCTCGCTAAAGCGACGGGAAACATACAGGTGCGAAATGATACACTGCATTGAATCGTCTACCGTCTAAAAGGACCTCCTCGCACGTGTGAATGGCCCGCCTAGAAAAATAACGCTTGGAATACTCGCACGTGTGGGTGTCGTGAACAGCTAATGGGTTAGCGTTTGGGAATTCTTCAAGTTCTTCATTCATATATAGAGCTATAATTTAGGTATATAAAATAAATTCAGTCAAATGATCCTTATTATATTTGGTATAAAATATTGAGTAATTTGGTGCGAACAATTGCAGAATTTTTTTTATTCGATATTATTATACCAAAGAATTTGCCATCCAACATTTCGGAGCACCGAGTTGCAAAGAAGGCACTTTGAACACCTGCTGTGATTAAATGAATTCTTTCCTTATAATGTAGGAATAGTTGATTCGTAGATCGTTCTGTAACACATTTTCAGAAGTAGTGGAAGATACAAGAATATTTACTCTTCTTCTTTCTTTTTCTCTTTCTTTATCTTCCCAACTTAGTGTCAAATATAATACAATACTTGCGATCAACGTTCTTTGTTTAACATTAATCCTTTGTGTGCCAAGGAGCGATATAAAAATTTCACGAACCTTAAAATCAAATTGACCGAAATATATACACATATTTGTTTACAATCACGAATATTTGCTTAAAATTATCTGGCATTTCTCGGATATGTATGAAGGTTTCCTTTGGTTGTCAAAGGATTGAATTCCAATTTACGCGCATAAATGGAGCTGAAGTGATGGAAATCCCCTCGCAACTGCGAGTTGTTTCATTATAATTCTTTTTATCGATGTAAGAACGCGAAACACTGTGTCTATGTATTCTTAACTGAATCCTGGCGAATCCACGTTCGACTCGGTGGAATCTGCGACGAGAGCGAAGGAGACACTTCACGGAGCAGATATATATTCCGGATGCTGCACACTGAAAATCGACTTCGCGAAGGTGAGTACATAAAACTGATTCTCATTCACGATTCTCTGTCCTCCCTCCTTGTGGGAGCGCACCCTCGCAATGAACGAGTCGAAAGTCCGCTCATTATACAGGGACTGGACGAATCTGGACCTGGTGGGTGAAAGGCAAAAGTAGAAGAAACGAAAAAGGGGGGAAAAAATAAGCCTCTTCAGTTCTACCGTTAATATTCATGAGAAAGGATCCAACGGAGAAATGCTTCCGCAAATAATGGAAACGCTCTAAATTCACGTTTCTCTTACGTAACGGCGTCTGTACTTACGGTACCATAAAACTCGAGGAAATTTGCTCATTTCATTCGTTTTACGTGCTCGTTACATATTCCAATTACTCGCGCTCGGGTGCGAGGCGCACGGCAACGACGTTCTTCTCAATATTTCGTCCGACGTCTAATTAGGAAATTCAACAAAAATATGCCACGAATATGTTTCTTTCCGACAGGCCGCGCCGCGTACGTGAATTTCGCTTGTAATTTTTTTACCGCACTTGGCAAGTTCACTTTGTATCTTCGCATTGATATACTCGGAGCGATTCGAAGGAATTTCGACTCAGAGAGTATTCTTCGAATGAAACGACTGACAGTAGAGTAATAGGCAGTTTCGTATATTTATTTATAGGAGGATAATGGAATTAGAGGTTTTCTCTGCGATACTTCGCATAAATAGATGTTGATATATTTAAAGACACACGAAGGAAACGTAAAGAACATGAAATATTTACGGAACAGATTCTGAGTAAATGTATATATGATTAGGCTTCAGAATTATCGTATACAGCCAGTCCGATAAATATTCGTACCCTCTCTGCTTATTGAAGGAATTTGTCTAAATTAAATGATAGGCTTGATGTTTCCAAATAAATGTTTTATTATATATATATACACACACACAAGTGTAAAGTACGTATTTATAATGAAACATTTATTTCAAAACATAGAACCTATTATTTAATTTAGACAGATTTCTATTAATAGACGTAAAGGCTACGAATATTTATGACACTGGCTGTATAAACATCAAAATAAAAAACGAAACTTTTCATTTTGTCGAGACCACATCATTTATGTTTCTTTTTTTTAACTGAGTGTTCTGAAATAGAAATGTAGCCCAAATAACAGAATATGTGACCTAGAGAAATCGAAGAGATTTTATTATCTTTCACACAATCTACCCGAAAAAGAGCATACACAATTTTTATAACACGTATTTGAAGTAATAACGCTAAAAGGATCGATATCTTCGTTACTATCGATTCTATCAAAAATTTATGTGGAACGAAAAAGTTTCCAAATTTAATTTGCAACATGTTTTGTTCTCTGAGCTTTCGCTGTAAAAGCAGCGGTAAGCGAGATAGCGTACAAGGGTTTATGGTTGGCGCTCCTTACGACCCCTCGTCCCATCTAGAGTTTTGCAATGTCACGTAGCCTAAATTTTACGTCGACCTGTGGTGTACGTACGGTCCAAGTTTTACCACGATTGCTCCGACCATTTCCTCGTGATGCTATAATAAACACAACTGACACAGGTTTAGTTATATACACGTGGTTGTTATAGAATAGAAATATAAAATAGAAGGAAACGTAGATTTTCGAAGATTTAGTGCGACCCAAGTTTGCAGTTCATACCGTTCATGGGAGTTTGACGCGAGGCGTGTGCTTTTGGTCGCCTGTTGAATATTTATCGACGATAAAACAACTTGCTGGTCCTCCATTCTTCACTTAAGGGCTCGTAACCCTCGTCGTCCATGAAACCGTGGTTCTATGCCCATTCGTGTAGGATTATATCGCAGGTAATTTGCAAAATTAATTTTGACACGTAATTGTAGAGTATAATGCTCAAGCAAAGATGAAAATGACTCATACTTTCAGACATTAAGCGTTTCTTTTTATAATAACAACCTTCTTCCTCGTTAATCAAATTTACGATGTCAAACTTCAAAATTTTATTATTTTCGCCAGTACTCTGTATTAAAAACGTAAAATATCTGCCGATCGCGAATGTGTTAATAAATATTCAATGATCATATTTAATCGAAGGAACATTCAAAAGAGGAAAATCAAATTTGAAGATTTTCAGCGTGATTACTTTTACCTTGCCTAAGTTGATGGATGTTCACACGCCAGCCATCCATTAGAGGAAGCTTTATACAAAATTCGAAGTTGATACCTGCCACGATTCGGGAGTTCGAACGCCCGCAACCACTTTACGCAAGGGTGGCTTTGAGAGCACGTCGCTACCCATGTACGGTAGAGATTGATCCCTATTCGTTGCCAAAATACCGAAAATCACGTACGAAAGCAAACAGCCACGCTTTGTAATTTTGGAAGAATGACCTTCCTGCAAGTAACTTGTTTTCGCATTGGTTCTTATATTTATTTAGTCTATCGTGTAGTATATTTTCTTTGACGCTTTCGACCCGACATTATTCTCAAAGGAAACTAAGTAATCTACACTTTTTATTATACATACAAAAAATTTACCCTCTTTGAGCTAAATTTTGGTCTCCTGCAAAACGACTTGCAAGACATTTACTTTGATGCTTCAGGTTATTCAGAGACATATAATTAAGACGTATACCTCATCTTGTGAAAACACTGAAATTATTTGATAAAATGTCGATATATTAGCACGTGGTCTGAAAGTTACACGAACCCATATAGGGTTAAATTCTAATGCTCCAAGTGCCACAAACAATAAATATTCCTGAAAACCAGCGGCTTCGATCGATCAATTTTCAGCAACACAATTCCTTCGTGTAACACGTTTAAAAAATAGTACGACCTACAAGCTAGAAACGGCGTCGACTGTGAAAATGTCTCGGTTGAAAAATAAAATCTCGCTTCTATTGGCACCAGCTATTATTTAGCGCGAGGTTCCAACAGTTCCGCGTGCTTTGCTGTCGCCCGGTACCCTCTATCGTGAAAAAGATCGCAGAGCAAACAGTGACGCCTCGCCTTAAAGGGAATGAAAAGAAAATCACGTGCATTAACGTTAGGGCCCCGGGGCAATGAGGTCTTCCGTGTCGTTTGAAAGAAGAAAAGAGAAGCGATTCGTATAGCGAGCCACGCGAAAGCTCCTCTTCCTCGCCTAACGAGTTAGATCTCATTTCAGCTCGTTGCGTCGCGTCTTTTCAATTAACTTCAACATGTTAGCATACTTTGCCAAATGAGAGCATCGTTACCTTCTTATCGCATTCAACAGTTTTTGCATTGTAGGTAATTAACACACGGGCAGTGATTAAATTGTATGTGGAGACAGTCAGGAACAGGCGCAACACTAAATAGCGAATAACACCTGAGCAACATATATTATTGAACGATTATTTAGCGTGTAGTGCTGTCAGGTTTAAAATGTTAGGTGAGGTAATTTTATCTAGAATTTTATTAGTTGGTAACAAAGGAAAATTTTAGAAAAGGAGATTAGAATAAAGAATATTAGGGTCTTAGAGTATTAATTTACTAAATTGTTTAATTGATAACAAATAACTATTAACGCAATCCATATCTGCTGTTTTAATGAACAATTTTAAACAATGTTAATGGAAAGTAATGTTTATAATTTGCATTGGCTTTAATGGAGTTTTGACCTACTGGAACTCGTTATTTCCATGAAAGGAAATTGTCATTGCAGAAAGTAGTTCTCTTCCATGTTATCGCGAATGACCATTAGAACTGAGAGTGGGCAGTTTTTTTTTTCAGGAAACATTTGCGAACCTTAAAATTTCAAAGGAGCACATACTGTTGGCTTGGTGGTATTAATGCCACGATTACGATATTGGGTCGCCAGCACAGGTTACACTGATAATATAGATGTGTATTGCATATGAAGCATCTAGAGCGCCATTCATTATCAGATACGCATGATAATGTATCACCTGATTAGATATTCCATCACGATAATGATACAAAGTATCGATCCAAGTTTGTTCAAGTATGGTTATATTCGAAACACGTACAAGTTTTAAAGACGACATCTTGGCGCTACTTGTCCTCGATTTTGCCTTAGGTCATTTCATTATGTGCCGGAGGAATGCAATATTTTACATCTTTACTGTATTTGTCGATCAACAAGCCCATTCTGCAAAGTAGCATGTTCGAAGCACGATCTCGAGGCGTTTCGACGTTGTTTTCATGTCTTCCTCGGTAAAATTCGATCTATGAATAATATAATAATTAGATAAAGGCAGGTAAGAAGGTAGCAGAAGTTCAGTTATTAACTTACGTTAACTTTGGAGTTACAAGTTAATAATTTAATGTACCAGTACCTTCTCGGCTGCCATTAATTATTATATTATAGATGAAATTTTACGGAAGGTCTAAAAGTAAGGTTGGAACGTACAAGTAACATACTTTGAATATTCTTGCTCGTTTTCTGTATAAATTTAATTGTAGCATTTCACCAGCATTACAGTGACTTCTATTAATTTAAATGGTCCATTCAAGCATGAAATATTCATTTTCTCGTACATTTTAATTCCATTTCTGTACCTTGCAGGTAAAACTGTGTTAGGTCACTCTGATTCTGCATTTTCCATTGCTATTGAAAATGTATAATTATCAACGATTCATCTTTTCAAGGTACAAGATACCAATTTATCTTTTCACTGTTAATCACTGACAAGCCTCCCAGCTGAATTAATCTAACAGTTTAATTTTGAATAATCGTTCACTCCAATATTATTAAAAATTAAACCACAAAGTTAAGGATAGTACAGAATTGTTCACGAACGGCAGGAGGCAAATATACTCAGCACTTTCTTTAACTTGAACATAATAGAATAATATTGCAACTCACCCTCAAGTATTCTAGAACCCAGAGGTTGGAAGATTACAATTCATTTTGGCTCTCTCCAAAGCAAGAGCAAACCTCTCGCCTGTATGCTTTTGGACGCCATCGTAATAAGCTTTGCTAAAGTTTTTCTCGTTTTCATGAAAGTGAGAATTTTTCCATTTCACGGTCGACTTTTACATCAAT